AACTGGCTGAAGAGCATTTTTTTGTGCTGTAATTCTCTATGACTCTATGGCTATGCCTGTCGTTCATGCACGAACACATAGGAACACTCATCCCTAAACTAGCCACGTCTGCAAAAATGCATGGGTGACTAAACTATTTTCTGGTGCTGCTACAATGGTATGTGTGTGTCAGTATTAGCAGTGATTCACTAATGACGTGCTAACAGTGCAGCACTCATTCTGTGCTGAGCATTCAACAGTACTGCTCTGACAATGCAGCACTCATTCAGTATTGACTGACAGTGCAGCGAATTCTTTGTAATAATCCTCTGAAAATGTAATGCTCACTCAGTAATGACTGGTCAGCTGTGTGGCACTCAGTACTGAGCCTTCAACAGGGTAATACACATCCAGTACTTATCCCCAGTCAGTGCCATTTATACTCAGTACTTACGCACTAAAAAGGCTGCACACCCTCAGTACTAACTCTCTGATGGTGCAGTGATCCCTCAGTACAGTTCTCTCACAGGGCTATTTTCCTTAGTACTGATCCACAGACAGTGCTACCTTTCCTTAGTACTGATCCACAGACGGTACTGTCTTCCCTGAATACTGACTCTCAGAGTGTTGCACTCCCTCATTATTAACCCAATTAGTTTGCTGTACCCTCTGGTACTGAATTGTAGTGTTTGTCTGGTTTCTGTGCTTTGCGGCAACGGAACCTACATTGATTACCTGTTCTCAGTGTCTCTCAAAATGCTTCACAGACAAGGTGAGTTAATTCATCTGTATTTGTTTTTAGATGCACCACGGAATCTCTTAATTACTTCTCCTGTTGTGATTGAAAATTCATCAATCAATATAACAGAGGGGAATTCTGCAGTGATAATCTGCTCTGTGAACAGCTTCCCAGCTTCTAACCTGACGTGGAGGCATCTTAATGTCACAATGAACAGTACAAGTTCCGACAATGAGGTGTGGTTGGAGATTCCTCACGTTACATACAGGGAGACTGGAGACTATCAGTGTGTGGCAGAGAACGAACATGGAGCAGAAAACAGCTTCGTAACCATCAATGTGCAATGTGAGACTACTGTTAGATTTGTTCATTGTTACAATATCTTTAGAGGGGCCATTGGCATTATCTTGTTTCTTCTCTGGATTTCTTCAAGCCTCCCTCATTGCATGGCTCCAAATGTTATCCACTATGATTTCTCTTTATCCCTTTTTATATTTACCCCCAATTTCTCCACAGTTGTTGCTAAGACAAAGATGGTTCTTCATTTCTATGCCCATACTTATCTGTCTATCTCAGTCGAACTGGACTTAACTCTCCCTTCTAGCTCCCAACCTTCTACTCTTTCTGTAAACCACTCATTTGTCTTGATCTCCAACCAGCTGAATCTGAACATCCTCGGCCATACACCCACATTTCAAAAACCTTCACCCTCCTCTCATCCATTTTCTGCAGTCTGACTCTCCTATCCATCATTAGTGACAGCACCAACATTTTCTCAGCTTCAGGCTGATGTTTTTAGATGTTGAGACTGAAGTCACTAATCACGGTGCCTGCTGTTGTTGTTCTAAGCCACATTTCAGACCTGGATGTAAATTTGATGTTTATCATCAAATCAAGTATTGGAAATTGACCACTCTTCCTACCTCGGTGTACCCAATCTTGATATCCCCCTTGCCATTTAGAGGCGTTATGTTTGACATTGACACCTTCATGTTCAGTCCAAGTGTCTTCCTATGTCTTTTGTCTGGGTCCATCATAATCTATTGCCTTGTTCAATTTGTGTGCGTGGTATCAAATGCACACCAGAGATTACACAGCCACATCTCTACAAACAAATTCATATCCCCAAGAGACTGTTACATTTACAGTGTCTACACACATCCACATGCCTGTCATAAACACAGATACTTTCATACTTTCCTCTTTTAAGATCTTGGAGGATTGTGGGGCATTGAGATTACCTGGTGATGCTCCTCTGCTGTTGTTCCAGATGCCCCACGGGAGACCAGAGTGTCCACCAGTGGAGCCTCAGGTGGGATCAGAGAGGGAAACGACGTCACACTAACCTGTTCCAGTGAAAGTGCCCCGTCGATATCTCATTACACCTGGTTCAGGATCGAGGGAAACACCAGCACCCAATTAAACACAAGCAGCCGGATTCTCTCCTTCACTCCAGTCACACGGGGGGATGATGCAGGTTTCTACTGCACAGCAACAAACCCATTGGGTGACAGCAGCTCCAACACAACCCACCTGAATGTGGGATGTAAGCAGTTTACTCTGTCTCTTCTTAAAACTCAGGGGCTGTCTGTCCGGGGGCAGCTTACCCACTGTATTTTTGAATAAAGAGCCTCCTCACTGCTGTAAACTGTCCCTCACTGAGATACAGTGATATTAGGATCAGTGACTAACAGTTTGGCTGCTAAGGAGGAGAAAGAGGGGCATGGAGGATTAGGGAGGAAATTTCAGAGCTTAGAGTCTCAAGCAGCAGAAGACACTTAACAATGGTGGAGGGATGGAAATCAGGGTATGTTCAAGAGGTCAGAATTGAGAAAGGTAGAGATCTTAGAGTGGGTGTCAATGGTGTTCAGCTAATGATAGAGTGTAATTACTGAATTCAATTTGGTGCCAGTTCACACTTCGGAGCATCAGAGTTTTGGATGTGGGAGGTGGGAGACTAGCAGAGAAAGTGTTGAGATACTTGATAAAAACCAAAAGAACTGCAGATGCTGTAATTCAGGAACAACAACGAAGTTGCTAGAAAAGCCCAGGAGGTCTGGCAGCATCTGTGAAGGAAAAGACAGAGTTAACGTTTTGGGTCCATGACCGGGTCACCGGACCCGAAACGTTAACTCTGTCTTTTCCTTCACAGATGCTGCAAGACCTGCTGGGCTTTTCCAGCAACTTTGTTTTTGTTCCTGTTGTTGAGATACGAGTTTAGAATGAAGTATGGCACTGATGAAGATTTTAGTGTTCAGGTTGTAACTCCACTATTCTTGATTAATTGCTGTCATTCCCTCCTGAGATGGTCCAGAGCTTTCCCAGGAGTCGGAATGTGCTTGGAGGGCAGATGGGATCACCTGCGTTTGTGTGGCCAACTCAAACCCTCCTGGACACCTCACTTGGCACCTGTCCCATGCCAACCTCAGTGGTAACCAAACACACGGAGGTTTTGAGTCACAGCAGCTCAGAGCGGGCCATCTGGTGATGGGCTCTCTGTTCCTTATGGGACATCAGGATGAAGAGGAAGTGATGGCATCATGCTCGGTTCGAAACCCACATGGGGCAACCATGTTCAAGCTGCATCTTTGGGTCAAAGGTGAGAGGATTAATCTCTGATTAGTTGGTTTTACTCTAAACTCTCAAATCCGCTTCTTCTCCCTCTCTACTTCCTTTAAGTTGCTCTTTCCCATCGGCCTCTTTGACCAACATGTCCTCTTGTGATAATGACAACACTGGATAAAATTCAAGTCAGGCCGTTCTTTTATTGGGAGTGGCGGGGAATGTCAGGAAGCACTTTCTTCAAATAAATGTGGCGTGGGATGTGGAATCTTGAACTCCATCCAACACCAACACCCTCCCAACTGCAAGTAACTTCCATTCAAAATAAATGCAGACAGCACAGCAGGGGTGCTGTCAAAGCGGGTAGTGGGGGAGAGTGGTGTTGGGTGGAGGAAGGTGTTCATGGTGGATGTCTCTGCTCTGATGCAGACGGGAGAATGTGGGTCTATCAGGGCTAGTGGGGGGGCCTCGGAGCCATTGGTAGGTGTGTTGGAACAATCAGGGAAGAGTATTTCAGGTCTTCCAGAAGGGCTGGCGGCTGGGAGATTCAGACCATTGGCAGGTTGGGCAGTAGGTCTGATCCCAGCGGTTCAGGTCAGCAATAGGGAGGTGGTGAATCCTTTTGAGTTGAGGGCATGTCTAGTTGGGTGGTGCGGTTGATGGGTAGGAGGGTCAGAATGGCATTGGATTGGTGAGAAGTGGGATGGTGCCTGGTCAGAGGAGGAGTGATTGCCAGAAGCAAGGGCTCAGGTGAGGTAGAACTGGGGACTGTGTGTTCAGTTGTGATCAGTTTAATAGCTATCCAGATGTTAGACTAGTTTTCTAATTGTCTGACGTTTCCTGGGTAATTAGGAACATAGGCAAAGTGCTCCCCTCCGAAGCCTCTGACTTTAACGGGTTCTGACAGGGGAACTGCCAATCAGAATCTTCAATTTCCTGGACAATTCCCATGGTGGCAGCTGCTTGTGGATTCTGCAGGGTCCTGACACACAATTCCCATCTGAATGTTCCAACAACTAACTGTCCATTGGAATATCTGGACCAATGTACATTTAAGTGATACATAAATTACATCCAAAATGAAGGCTTGCATGAATATATTGCTGACATCGTGACAGAATACATTTATAGTAATTGTTGCACTTCATACATGTGGTAATTTCTTGAATGTAGGAAGTGTGACTGTCAAGACCCCAGAAAAAGCAATGTGATCATGAGGTAATAATCAATTATTTGTCAGCTTAATGATGTAAAGACAGAAATTATGAGGTGGGGCACTAATGGCCCATTAGTGAAGGAAACCCGCTGTTTTATCTCAGTCAGTCTGTATAGATGGCTCCAATTGCAAACTCCAATGTAGTTACCTCTTAACTGTCCTCCAAACTCCTCTTGGCTTGTGTCAAACCAATGGTTCAGGAAAAAGCCATCCCACCACCTTCTCAAGGGGCAATAAATGTCAACATTGCTCAAGGATAAAATGTTTAAAAATGGAATACATCATTTCTCAAGATACATCAGACCATAATTCCAAACTATAGCATAGTAATTAATGGCTGTTTTTATAGGGAGAGACTCCAATAAATGGAAAGTGGGATTGGTCATGGCTGGAATCATGCTGAATGTTTTCCTGGCTGGAATATTAATCTTCCTGTGTGTGCGCAAGTAAGTGGAAATGCTTCATTTGATTTTACTCTAAGTTTTTACTTCCACTTTCGTTCCCTCAGTCAATAACTGTTACTTTGGGGTGACGTACCAGATAGTTCTGTATGTGGTTCCCATGTCCTGATGATCCAGAGCAGACCTTTCATTTGTTCTGCATCCAGATGAATAGCTATGAGTTATCGTAATCTGGAACATGATGCCTGAAAAGGGAGGTGAAAGAGGATTCCAAACATGTAACTGTATCTGTGCTGTACTGACACTCTGATATACAATAACTACAGTGATATTGTGTTATTGCAGGAGAAAGACAGCGACTGAGGAGACAGCATCAAAGACCAATGAGATTGGATTGACCTACAGTCAACTCTCTGTGAAACACCAGGTACAGAAGCTGTTTATATTCACTCCAATCAATCAATTTCAGAGAACAAACAACATGGCACATTGCAATCATCAAGCCCAGGGATGTTCTCTACACTAGTAATAACTTCTCAAAGCCGCCAAGCAGTAACGGGACAGTGCATAGAGACAAGGACCAGAATGGACACATATCAGATTAGAAAGGTTTGAAGTTTGTGTGCAGCCAACATGGTTGAATATGCAACATGTCCCAGATTCCAAGACAGATTACCCATGGATTCCCACTTGTGGAACATGTAATGGCTCAGTGGGAAGCTCTCTCACTTGCCCTTTCTGAGTCAGAAGGTCATGGGTTTAATAACCAACTCCACAAATTTAAACATAACCAGCAGAGATGCTGGATACCAAGACAGACCTTCTCCAAGCCAACACCAACTTTCTTAAGCTACCCAGCGGTGATGAGACTGTGCACAGGGACAAGGACACAGAATACGCACAGATCAGATTCTAGCCAAACTGAGAGAGAAATGCAGTGGGGGGTGGGGAGGGGGTGGGGGTGGTGTTAGAGGTACATGCAGCCAAAATGATTGAACAACAATGACAAGAGAAGCAGGCAGCAGTTCTCCCTCAGTCCTGGAGCCTTTCATTATCTTCCCCCAAACAAAACAGCATTAAAAAAAACATAATGTGGGGACATTTGCCGTATGCAAATTCGTTGCTGTAATCATTGATGTAACGTAGGAAACACAGTTCAACTCCACAAATTTAAACATAACCTAACAATGCTGACATTTTGGGGTGTTTGTTCTGAGGGATTGCTGGACTGTCAGAGGGTCAGTACTGAGGATGCTGACCCTGTCTGAAGAAGGGTCATTGGACTCAAAACGTAAACTGCTTTCTCTTCACAGCTGCTGCCAGACCTCCTGAGTTGCTCCAAAAGTTTCTTCTGGTGTTGTTTCAGACTTCCAGCATCTGCAGTTCTTTGTTTCATTGTTCAAAAGTTGGTTGATATCAACTGTTTATTGTGTTCTTGCTTGTGGGACCTTTCTGTGCACAAACCGCTTCTGCACATCCTACACTACAACAGTGAACACTTCTAAAAGGTGCTGGCTCTGAAGGGATTTTTGAACTTTCTGTATGAGGAAAGAAGAGAGATCAAATCCAGATTGGAGAGTCAAACCATAGAATCCTACATTAGAGGTGAGAAACAGTAAAACAAAGGGAAATGGCGAGAGAGATATACAAAGAGAGAAAGTGATGATGGAGGGTACAACAGAGGGAGATAGGGAGAGAGAGAGAGAGAGACGGAAAAGGTTAAATCCACTAAACCATGAGACTATGCAATAAATTTAACCCAAGATGTGCCAGTAAATTATGTATCTTCTGTTTCCATTTCTCTGAATGGAAGTCTGTGCTGTTAGATGATACATCAAACCATTCCATCTGCCCTCTGGGGTGGAGGGGTGGTGGTGTTAAAGATCCCATGGCCACTATTTGGAAGAGAAGCAGGGAGCAGTTCTCCCTCAGTCCTGGAGCCTTTCATTATCTTCCCCCAAACAAAACAGCATTAAAAAAAAACATAATGTTGGGACTGATGTAACGTAGGAAACACGGTTGAAGTGTCTGAGGAGCATTTGGGACATACAGTCTCTGTGAACAATGAGCTCATCACTTTTGCCTTCAAGGTATGTCTCATGAGGCTGTGCAACAATTTAAATCTATCCGTGCCGGTAAATGATGTAAGAACACCTTCTGTTTCCATTTCTCCGCAGGGTTCACAGAACATGGTGGTTACTGACCTTCAGAACACAACCAGGGACACAACTAGAGAGGGAGAGACATCAGGTCCCCAGGATGTCTTTGATGGTGCAGTGGGCAGAGATACTGGACACCAAGACAGACCTTCTCCAAGCCAACATCAACTTTATTAAGCTACCCAGCGGTGATGAGACTGTGCACAGGGACATGGACACAGAATACACACAGATCAGATTCTAGCCAAACAGAGAGAAACGCAGTGGGGGGTGGGGAGGGGGTGGGGGTGGTGTTAGAGGTGCATGCAGCCAAAATGATTGAACAACACTGACAAGAAAATGGCGTTGCTCAATTTTGTTGTTAGTTCTAAACATGCTTTCAAAATGCTGCACCTTTTTCATGCCGTCAGAGATTGCACGAAGCTTATGAATAATTTTACATGTACTAGTAGAAGCAGTTGTGATGAAACTTTACAATATATGTTATCACTATTTGGGAACTTTGGTTCTATAATGGAAGAATGATAGAAGTTTATTCAGACGAAAGCAGCCTATAACAGAAGTGCTCTTCACAGCAGCCTCCAAAGCAGCAGCACTGTGAGAAAATGATCTGAAGATGGTGAAATTTTAATTCCAAATAAAATATGCCCAATGATGATCATGAAACAATGTGCTGAATGGTCTGTTTCTGCTCCTCTCTCTAATGGTCTTATGGTTTAACCTCTGCTTTTATCATAAAATTTCATCTATCTCAACAATGTTCTTTAAGAAGGAAATGTACTGTAATATATGCAAGTTCAAACTCACAGCAATGTGATTGATTCTTAACTGCCCTCTGAAATGGCCTAGCAAACTACTCAGTTGTGTCAAACTGTGAAAACTTCTCAGAAAAGGAACCAGACAGACCACCAGACACCAAATCTCAGCTCTGGAAGTAAGAATGGCAAAGTCCTCCTTACCAACATCAAAAAAGATGTGCCAAAATTTGAACTGATCCAGCAACTCAAGACTGGATATCCATGATGCGTGGGCCATCAACAGCAGAATTGTACTCCAATACAATCTTCAACCTCATGGCCCAGCATATTGCCCAATCTAGCATTTAAATCAGGCCAGGAGATCAACCCTGGTTCAATAGAGAGTGCAAGTGGGTGTGTCAGGGGCAGCACCAGGCATGCCTAAAAATGGGGTGTTCGCCAGGTGAAGCAACAACACAGGGCTATTTGCAAGTCAGTGAACACGAGCAGCAAATATTAAACAGTGCTAAAGCGACAGGTCTGCAGTCCTGCCAAACCAAGTTCTGAATGGTGGTGGACAATTGTGGAGAAGGCTCCACAAATATTCCATCTTGAACTATGGGGAAGCCGTGCACATCAATGCAAAAAATAAGACCAAAGTTTCTGAAACAACCTTCATTCAACAGTGCCAACTGGATGATCTGTCTTAGTCTCCTCCTGAGGTTCCCCAGCATCACAATGGCAGTTCTCTGTCAGCTTGGTTTACTCCACTTAACATCAAGAAATGGCTGATGCCACTGGACACTGCAAAGACTATGGGCCCTCACAATATTCTGCAATTTTGCAGCATCTCAAGCTGTTCCAGTACATCTACAACAATGGCATCGAAAGAAAAGAATAGTAATTTACTATCACTTGTATCTTTCCAAAATACACTGAAAATTGTTTAAGTCAACATACTCCAGCACCTGTATTAACAACAGAAATCACATGTAAAAAAAAAACACAAAGCCCACCTTCGTTCAATTCACATAGGTTCCCAAAGTCAAGGACAAGACAGGACTCACATTCTCACCCGTTGCAGAACATCAAAGCCGCCAAATCTCAGGCTGCACCACCGTGCTGCCAAAGATGCTGCAGAAGCCACCTCATTGCCGAGCTGCCGCTGGGGCAGACAACCAAGCTGAGCCTTGGAATCCCAACCGGAAGACATCGAAGAAGCTGCCTCAAGGAATCCAGGGCCGAGCCAACCCCATTGCTGAAGACTGTACTGACCCGGGCCATTGGAATCCCAAACTGGGCCCATCATGCTGCCAAAGACAATAAAGCCACTGAAGCAGACCAGCACACCGCAACACCCACCAGGTTATTATGCAGTGACCATAGGATGGCCCACACTGCCGCCACTACTGCAGCATCCTTCCTCCACTGAAGCCGTTAAAAGCAGCAATATGGAAAATTGTTGAGTGGAAAATTCTATCTCAGCTCCTGCATCAAACTGCATATCAATAGCAATTTACACAGCCTCAGGATATCCAAAACAATTTGTTTTTAAAGCACAATTTTGAAATATCATCATTGGTGGATTGTGGGAAATGTGATATCCACATTATGCACAGCAAGATCCCATGTGACGATGAATGCAGCCATTTTATTTTGAGCAATGTTGCTTCAGGGTTAATTGTGTAGCATGGAGAGCGCCCTCATGCTCTTTCATGGAATAATGACTAGTTATGTTTAGGAGAATCTTCTAATGATCAATTGTTCTTCAAGGATTTATTAATCTCACTTGTTAGTTTATTTAAAACAGCAAAACACATGATAGATTATGTTGCATACATTACTGTCAACTGATTTCTATGTGCAGCTTGCAGACTCACTAACTGCAGATTGTCACAACACACGCATATCATGTCAAGACAAGCCAGACAAAGAGAGACGCAGAGACAGACCAACAGAAAAAGGGAATTGGGGGGAAACGGGGTGTGAGAGAGAGACAGACAGACAGAGAGAGAAAGTGAGAGAGACAACGAGACAGCAAGAAAGAGATAGCAATGGTTAAAGAGAAAAAGCAAGAGAAAGTTATAGAAAGAAATAAAGAGAGGCAGAGACAATCAGAAAGAGAGAGGGAAAAAGAGAGAAAAAGGGACAGAGACAGACAGATAAGATGCACAGCATGGGAAACAGGTAAACCCATCAGTTCATGCTCCCTCTGCTGGATGCAGCGAGGAACTGAGACTTTTTTTAAAAAATTCAATTACAGGATTATAGGAGTCACTGAAAGGATTCATTGCCAATTTGTAACTGATCATGAAAAGGTGCTGGTGAGCTGCCTTCTTCATCCTCTGTGATCACTTAACAAAGGGAAATGTACAGAGGTGTTAGGGAGAGTTCCAGGACTTTGACCCAGCAACACTGAATGAATAACCATATATTTACAAGTCAGGATGGTGAATGCTTTACAGTGGAATGTTCCATATAGCCCACAAAGAAATAGGCATAACTGGGGTCCATGCCCACAACTTGGATCTTGGAATATTCCTTTACCCATTCCTACTTCAGCCACCACCCACAACTCTTTCTCCAGTACACCAAAGACATGGTCAGTACTCTTTCCATTTCTCATCCTGGATTGGAAAAATTAATCAATTTTGCTTCCAGTTTCCATGCTGCTCTCACCTTTACGTTGTCTATCGTTAGCTCCTCAACACCTGCCTCAACATTTCTGGGGGTAGGTTGGCCACCAATATCTACTACAAACCCACCAACTCCCACAGCTACCTTGACTATACATCCTCACACCTTGCTTCCTGTAAAGACACTGTTTCATTCTCCCAGTTTCTCTGCATCTGTCGCATCTATTCCAATGATGCCAACTTTGTAGAAGTCTACTTCTAAACTGTCCACCTTCTTCCTCAACCAAGGATTCTCCACCACTGTGGTTGACAGGGCCAATAGCTGTGTCTGACCCATCACCTGCACTTCGGCTCTCGCTCCTTCTCTTCACTCCCACAAGTATGGGAGTGGCTGACTTATCCACCAACTGACTTACTAAAGAAGTGCAGAAAATTTAAGTGTACAATGTAATGTCAGAAGGCATTTGACAGCCTGAAAGCTGTAACCCCAGTGTTAGCCACACCTAATTATGGAAAGCCATTCAAGTTGACTTGATGCAAGTGATTTGGATGTCAGTGCTGTACTCTTGCAAGAAGATGACAAGAAGATAGAAAGACCTGTTGGATATTTTTCAAGAAAATTGAATAATCAACAGAAATATTCTACGATTGAGAAGGAGACCTTCATCTTGGTGTTGACGTTACAACATTGCAACAATAATATTGCTGGTAATACGTCTGAAACAATTGTATATACCGATCTTAACCCCTTCAAGGTTTTAGAAACATTTAAGGATAAAAGTTCCAAATTGTTTGGATGGAGCTTATTATTGCAGCCATTCAATTTGAAAATTATACACGTGGCCGAATGGAGAACGTAATTGCCAACACGTCACGATTTTGATGAAGGAAGACGGAAGCGTTTGGTGGTGGGAGTAAAAATGTACTGAAATGGACTGTAGGAGTAAATGCTTGTATGCTCAGAGTCAAAATAATGTATATGGACTGCTGTGAACTAATAGCATAAGGCTAAGATTTTTAAAAATGAAGTCAGCTTTGTATATTGATTTTTTTTTAAGTAGGAAGGTGTGATGATACTGTGGCTTTAAGAGGTATATTTTGCCCTGGGTTTTTTCAGCAATGTTGAGAGAGAGAGAGAGAGAGAGAGAGAGAGAGAGAGAGAGAGAGAGAGAGAGGTGGCAAGTCAGCCTACTTAGCGCCACTAAAATAAACATTTGTGAAGCCTTGAAGTGTTTTATTTTGAATGTTGGGACAATAGAAGCAACCTGAATGAGTGGGGTCAAGCGGTCATAGAACCAGGATTTTTAATTTTAGTTTCTTAGTAGTAGTAACTGATGGAGTCTTGAAGCTGGATGTGGAAGTTGTTTTTTTCCTCTCTCATTTACAGCTAAAAGCTGAGGATTCTCTTCCTGCTGCTAGAATCATGTGAGACAATCTGTTTTGCTGAATTTGCCTTTTGCCAAAGGTGCATATATGGGATGTTACTGTTTCAAAACAGTCACTGTTTAGCAGTTAAATAGTCGATTATTCTGTTAAGTTTTCCAATAAAGTTAAATTATTCCAATTTCTTCTTTCTTTTGTTGTATTTTAACTCTAGTGTATGAATAACGTGTGTGTTGCTTCAAGGCAGACAGTTTGACCAATCGAATTGCATCCAGAATGCAACGCCTGGCACTTACCTTTAAAATAAGTAAAAAAAGGGTCTAGGCTATCACCTTCATATATTTTGAACGGGTTTGGTCTGATCCATAACAACAACAATAGGGTCCTTACTTACCATCAAAAGAATCTTTAGCCACCATCTGCATGACCTCCAGCGGGATTCTACCACCACAGGACACATATTCCTCTCCCTTCCCTTGTCAGCCTTCCACAGGACCATTCCCTCCCGGAAACCCTGGTCCATTCCATCACTCCCAACCCATTTCCCCTTGACCTGTCCCCAATAACCCCACAGCCACTTACCCCACAATCACAGAAGGTGTAAATGCTGCCTGTTCACTTCCTCCACCCTCATTATTTAAGGTTCCAGGCACCCTTTCCAATTGAAGCACCAATTTACCTGCATTTCATTCAATATAGTCTACTTTATACATTGAACACAATGTGATCTACTCTGTACTGGGAGACGAAACACAGACTGGGTGACCGCTCTGCAGAATACCTACATTCGGTCTGCAAAAATGACCCCATGTTTAATCTCGCTTGCTACTTCAACTCACCACCATGTTCCCTGGCCAACATCTGTGTCTCAGGCTTGCTGCAGTGCTCCAGTGAAGAATTGCATCTCATT